CTCCCTAGCTCAGCCCTCGGCAGGGCAGTACAGCAAGGGCACCAGCTCAAGRCCCTTGGTCCTCCTGCCCTGGTTCCCTGGGAATATGGGCCCAAGTTGGGCCCTCTCCCTGTGTGGGCGAGTCCTGCTTCCCAAGGRCATGGCCAGATGGCCACATTTTGCTCTYGCAGGGGACCCTGACAGCAGCTGTYCTTTGGTGTGGGCCCTGAGCGAGCCCCAGGCTAACCCTGATGCCTGCGGACCACTCAGTGGTGAGGAGAGCCTGGACTCTGGACTGACGAYGGAAATGCAGAAGCCAGAGGGCTCTGAGCGCCGTGGTAGGAGCCGCCATCCTTGGTGATGTTCCTCACTCCTAGGACTCTCAGGCCCTGGCCAGGAGATGAAGACTTTGCAGAGCCGTCACGAGGCTCAAGGGAGCAGATGCATGTGCATTGCTGGTCAACGGGACGTGACCTGGGGGGACACTCCTCCTGAGGACAGACTTCCCAGCACAGCTCTGGGGGTCTCGAGTCTGCCAGGACATGCTGGCTGGGGCTGGAGGGGGCTGCAAGAGGCACTGGCTCCTGCTAGGGTCCCCTCTACCTGCCACATAAACAGGAACATGAGCCTCACAGTAATGCAGCAAGTGAGGCACTGTCACCATTTCACAGCCAACACACGCACACGCACACGCACACGCACCCGCACTGTGGCCTTTCTCTCTTTCACCCACCTCCCACATTCTTTCCTGCTTCCTTTACTGTACAGAGGAGGGACAAGTCCTGGACGCAGTGACCAGAGGCTGTGGCCGCCCCAGGGGGTTGGGAAAGCCTGCTTGGGGAGGAGGCAGCTGTGGCCAGGGCAGCCAGCCAGAGAGGATGCAAACATGGGCTAAGACTTTCCCAGAGCCAAACRCATTCCTCTGGCCTGGCCAGCCTGGGACAGGGAAACTGGCCAGCCTCTGTCACACACTCAGTCTATTCCTCGGGCTCAGCTCTGGCGCTGGGCCCCTGGGGTTGTTCTTAGTGACCTAGCTTCCCCGGGGATAAAGCGTGGATTCCAAGTTTAGATTCCAAGACTTCTGTGCAGCGGCCTTGGAACCCATCAGGAGCGCAGGGCTGGAGTCTGCACAAGTCCCAGCTGCGCGAAGCAGGTGTCTCTGGGCTTCTGGGGCTCCGTGATCAGCCCAGAGCGTCTCCTCACAGCCTGGTGTGTGGGCCTGTCTGGGGCACTCAGGCCCACCCTGACAGCTGGGCTCGCCTGGGCCTCTCATCCCAAAATCCTGGATACCAGAGTGGTTCATTCCTCCCAGGGCTCTGTGAACCCATTCTTGGCCTTGACGCACAACCCAGCTGTACCCTCCTGGCCCTATATAAATGGACCCAGCCTCCAAGGGCCAGGGAAGGAGCAAAGTGGGGCATCTCAGAGTCAGAAAGGAGGCCTCATTAACCCAGCATCGTTGTTTGTGCTTCTAAGCCCCTGGGAATTGGCCTCCAGGGCCCAACCACCAGAACCAAACAGGGCTAGCCTCCCGAAAGAGTCGAGGACCTGAGCTCTGCTCCAGCGGCTTCCAGGGGGTCTGCAGCACTGTCACGCCACCCAGAGCACCCATCCCCGTTCAACCCACCGGCATGGGGATGGCAGGTGCTTGCTGGTCTTTGTCCTGTGGGCTCCAGGCCTCCTTGGACTTCCCTGACCAACACTGGCTGGGAGCAGGAAGAGCACAGTGCCCAGGGAGGTGGGGGGTGGAGAAAGGACCCTGCAAGGGCCTCGTACGCTTTGCATTCAGATCTCATCTGCAAAGGGCGACCACCGAACCTGTTCAGAGAGACGGATAATCCACAGACATGGTGCCCAGCAGAGGAAGTTCTCCAGCAAGAGGCAGGGACGGCGGCAAGCACTCTCGAGGCCGCGTGAGGCCTTTCAAATAGCGGTGCTACCGGTGAACAGGGGCGAGCAACAGGGCATCACAGACATCAGACATCATGGTCATACTCTGCCGCATCCCAGGAGCCAACCGACAGCAGCATTTCTCAACCTTCTTCATGACTGTCTCCCTGCCCTGCACTGAGGACTGAACCCAGGCGCTCCACCACTGAGCCCCAGCCCCAGCCCTTGGTGATTTTTGTTTAGAGACAAGGCCTTTTGGACAGATCTCCCTCATTTGCTTTCCTCCTTTTATCAAACGATAAGGTTTTAGTGAACAGAGTTGAGCTTCAGAGGACCACAGAGTATTTTTAAAAAACAAGTATTTTTAAGCCCCAAAGACCCAATTCTGGCCCTAAAGGGACTTCACTTCTATGGGGAATGCCCAGAGATGTCAGCACAACTTGTCCACAGCTAAACCCAGGGACACGGTGTCCCAGAAGCTGTGCTCTGTACATGCGCTGTGCTGCGGCACGCCCGCGTACACTGGTTTCTGAGTACTCAGAAATGCAAAGTCTCAAGTGAGGTGGTGGAAGTTCCAGACATCCCTAATGACCCCCCCCCCCCCGTTAAGTAGCAAAAGGGAAAAGAAAAAAGGAAAGGAGAGCTTCAAACTGGCTGGTCATATTGTAAATATGGGGGAGAGAGTGGTTGTCTTAGCAGCAGCAGAGGGTCCTGTCCCGAGTGGGCTGAAGAGTCTGCCTCTCAGTCAAACACAGTTTGATCAAGGAGGAGGAGGGATGGACCGACAGACTGGAATAAAATTTAGATCTTGTTGCTGTGCAAATATGAGCAAGTCGTTCAATCTCTCTGAGCCTCATCCCCTCATCTGCTGAATAACAATGAACCAGAATGTATCCAGCCAGGCCTGACACACTGGAGGTATTTACTAATTCCATCTCAATTAAACAAATATTTGCTATAATCTTTCCAGATCAGTACAAGTAAGTTACAGAACCAGGATTCAAATCCAGGTCTTCCGGCTCATCTGGCCAGGCAGCCACCCTCCAAAACAACTTATGCTTCTTCCTTTCCCATTTTAAAAGAAGGCGAGTAAGCCCCCTTAACTCTCATCAGAACTAAGAGTCAGGAATTAAATCAAGTTRCCAACACTGAGAGGCCGCTGCCACCTGGTGGTGGCATACCTAAATCATTGGGGGGCAATTACTGAAGGGGAAAAACGGCCAGTGTCTTACACATGCCTAAAACCCCACCAAGCCCAAGCTTACACAGTGAGACTGAGTCACCAGCCACCACCTGGCAAAGGGCCAGCACACCGCCAGGCACCTGCCTGTTCTCTGACGCCTCTGGCTTAGCTTTCCTAGTTACCCGCCCCCGGTTYTTCTTTTAATTGATCAAATTTAATAACCATCAATAAACCAAATACCACCCTATCTGAACACAGGCGGTCTTCCCAAGAACTGCTGGACACCCACAGCCCCAGTTCCTGACGAGCTTAACCAACCACCTGGACACCACATGAAATTCTTGACAAACCCGTGTTTCAAACTTGAACTTCTAAATCAGCTTTCCGGCCAAACTCTCCCGAAATTCTATTTTTTATGCCCATCTTGGTCCCCCTTACAGCTGGGTAATGTTCACAGAACCTGCAAGCGCTGACCTCTGGGCGTGCCTGCAGACGCCGCTGAATGAACGCCGCTGAAGGAACAAGGCCCAGGCAGAGCCCTGGACGGCACCATAGCCCTYGCTCACACCCTTCACAGCTCCTCTGGGCGAGGTGCTCCCGGCCTGTGCACCTCCCGCCCGCCCCGTCCTGGGGAGGACAAGCAAGGCTGCCACTTATGAGGACTCGCATGCGAGACCCCTAGAGAGCCGACGAGGCTGGACTAAGGAGTTACCGTCCCTGAGCACAAAGTGGACTCTTCTTTTAGGAAAAGCTCTGGAGGGCCGCATACCATGGTGATGGCATGTAACAGGTCACTGCCGCCCAGTTGTCATTCCTCCTTTTCGACCACTGTGGCATTTAACTCCCAGATGGCCCAGGGGGTCCTGTCTGTGTCCGCCCATCCTGGGCACATTGGCCCTGGGCACAGAGTGTGGCATTAGGGATGTCAACCCTGTGTGAGCTGATTCAGCAACACTGCTGGTTCCAAAAGCTGACGTATGCCACCTGCCCCCTCAGCCGCCACCCGGGGGCTCCCACCCCAACTACACCCAGAACCTAGTGGGAAAGAGGGACCTGAACCTGCAGGAGTCAGACTCCAGCCTCAACTTCCTGTGCGTACGACAGGACAATAATCGTAGACTTCGAGAGGCTCTGGTGAGGGTGAAGTGGACATCGTGAGACAGGCACAGCTCCTGGCACACAGAGGAGTTCAGTCCGCACAGTGCCAACCTGGAGAYTCGTGTCCAGCCTCTGAGACTGGCCTGGCTGTGGTGAGAGCCCTGGCAGGTGTGAGGAGCCCAGCCTCTCTCGGGACAGACGACAGCTCCCGGGCACGCCTGCCACRCTCATCCTCCACCACTGCTGGCACCGTGGGAGCCAGGGAGGCACGGATGCTCACTGGGCGAGCTGCACACCTTGTCTGAATGGGACACCACCRCCAAAGTCCCAGAGCAGAAGCTGGACTGCAGGGGCCTGAGGACCGGCTTGGCAGAGGTGGCGACCAGCCAAAGCTGAATTTCTCTTTATGTGTCAGAGGACTCCAAACCATCCTCTGCAGAGTTCCAACCAGGCAGTCAGGCCACAGGYCAGAAAGAGACAGGCAGGAGGAGCCCATGAGAACACGGTTGCTCTCTCCACAGCTTTGCACAGCCTCCGGAAGTCTCCTCAGCACAGCTCCTGGAGCCCTGGAGGGCCAGCCTCCCCGGCCTCAGACCACCTTCCCTCCAACAGCAAGCAGTTCTGGGACCCTTTGAGAGCAGGGACACCAGTGTAAGGCGCTGGGCCAAGCACACCAGGCGGGAACACAGCTCAGCACTGCGGGGGACAGGACCCTCACCCCAGAGAGTGAAGGGCAGAGGTTTCTCCTCAGCAGGTGGGGCTTCTCTGCAGAGCCGCCTAATGGCAAGCGTCCTCTGCCTCCACGCCCCTGGGGTGGCCCCGGGGAAGGAGCAGCCGAGGCAGAACTTACCTTCCACTGCAGAGAATGGAACCACTGGTCTCGCAGGTAGCTGTTGGCAGCCTGCAACGAGAACAAGAGAAGGTACAGTCACCAGAGGGCGGCAACTCAGGGCCCCTGACRGCCAGCACGTGAGCCCTGCCTGCTCTGGGCAGACGAGCCCTGAGTGAACTGCTCTGGAACAGAAGCATGCGGGGGGACTTTTCTGGAAAGAAGACACAGCCCTGGGGGATGCTGGCTGCTGGGCACAAGGAGCTCCCCCTTGCTGCCTGTGCACACACCCGACTCACTCAAAATCATGGGAAGGGTGGTGACAGTGGCAGGAGCGGCCAGGGGCCTCCCTCCCACCAGGRTCACCAGGCACCCATCCCACCTCTTCTCCATCCTGCCAGTTCCCTAAGCTAAAGGCGGCTTCCATCACTGCCCGCTCCACAGAGGAGAACACCAAGACTCGGAAATCCCACACTACGTGCACTCAGACCTGGGTGGGCCAGCGTCAAGGCCTGTGTACTTCACCAGGACCCTCGTGACAGCTACAGGTCAGGGTGGGCAGTGCCAGCCTTGAACTTGGCCAGACCTAGGGTAAAGCATGGAGCCGAGAAGCAGAACCTCCTTCATCCCCAGCACCCTGATCCTGAGAGCCGGCAAGGCAGTCTGGACTTTCCCGACTGTGCGGCTGTGAGTGGGAAGCGGCCCGGCCCGCTTGTTGGAGGATGGGGGACGGGCGCCGTAACCACCCAGAGCCTGCTGGAGGCCACGGCTGCCATTCTCACCAGTTCTCCCAAATAAAACTTGGCCCAAGCAGGCTGGACCACCTGGCGCGAATGGCTGCTCTCAGGCCACCCCCAGCAGCAGGCCTGCCACCCGCAGCAGCCACGTTGACAGTGTCCRATGGGACCCGCGGGCTGGCCTTGCAGCAGCAGCCCTGGGGAGATGGACTGTCCACATCTCGTGGTGCAGAGAGGAGGAAACTGAAGTTAAGAACGTTCCCAAGGTTCAGACGGGAGCCGAGGACCAGGAAGTGAGCTGTAAACCACACACGGTGGCACTCTGAGCTCTCTCCAGGCCACCCAGGCAGTGCCACGCCCCCTGCTCCAAGTGACCCTAACTGCGAAGGTCGAGAGACTCCATGAAGGCTGCAATGACTCACCCCCTCTGCTTCCTACACGCACACACACAGGGCCCAGGTCTTCTGTAGACAATGGTCTCCACCTGACCGTCCTGAAGAAACAGACTGCTTGGTGCCCAGGTGGCACAGCATCCTGGGGTCAGTCCAGAGACACCTTTCAAACCTGGGCAGTCACACCAGCCCCTGAGGCAGGCTGAGCCTGAGTGCTACCCAAGCCAGAGACCAGCTTCTGTGCTCCTGGGACTCCTGCGATGGCTAAGCCTCCAACAGACCCGGGCCCAGGCCCTGACCTCTGCCATAGTCTAGCGTTCTGCCCTGGAGGATGTGGGGGACACGGCCTGTGACACCTGYTCAGGATTGCTCAGGCCCAAGAGGAGAAGCAGCCCCCTGCTGGGCTGTGACTGGGGTCCCCGCTGCCAGCATTGACCCAGCATTCTGGTCTCATGATACTTCTTGTTCATTAGGATGACAACACACATCCCCAGCTCAGGGCAAGGGATGGTGACACCCCAGACRATGAAATAACCATGGGAAAGAGCTTACTCAGCACGCCCCAGATGGCGCACGAAGGCTCTTGAAACATGGCCATCCCGGTCAGCAGCAGCCACAGCAGTGCTGTGCCCACAGACGTTTAGCAATGGGCTCTCCAGGCTTTTGTGAATAATGCCACTTCAGCTGACTTCAGCGAGGGGACGTGGCTGCACCACCACTGGGAAGCGTGAGGGCCAGCTCTCATGGCAGGGGCATGCAGGCGGAGCCACTCCACATGGCCTAGGTCTGCTGATCACACCCAGGAGGCCAGAGGGGGCTGCGGCAAGCAGGATGAGGTCCCCAAGAGGTGCTCTGGGATTATGTCATCTTAACACGGCAAAGGGACTTTGCAGATGTGACTGACCGAAGGCTCTTGGGATGGGAGACTATTCAAGATTATCCACCTGGCCCAAGGGAGTCACAAGGGAGGAGGAGGGAAGGTCAGAATCACCAGCAGGAGTCAGAGGGACGCAGTCGGGGCCTCCAGCAGCTAGAAGAGGCAAGGAAACACCCTCCTGGGAGCCGCCTGAGGAGCCGGCACTGCCCACCCTGGATGTTAGCCCCGGGGACTTCCGGCCTCCAGAGATATCCACAAGTGTGCGCACCACACACACACACCCGCTACACACACACACACACACACACACACACACACACACACACACAGCTGTGCAGGCGGCTTCAGGATATGTTATGAATTGCAGGCTAAGGACCTAGATCTAATCTGACCTCTTCTCTGATGCCATTTTTCTGATGTGGAAAATGGTCCAGATTTCCTGTACCTGTCATCAGTTCTATTTCCAGTGGCCTTCTTTACGTGACCATGTAGCTTGCTCAATGAGTCTGAGCGGGTGGATGAGCCAGTGCCCTCTTGAGCTCCCCCCGCCCCTGCCCCCGCCACGGGGAGCGGCACATTCCCTGAGGCATGAGCCCCACACGCTGCACACAAAGCYGGGGTGAGCAGCGGCCACATGGAACGTGGGGCTGCTCCCCAGGGCAGCATCACCTGGTCCTCACACAGCCTCAAGCCCACCACCACCTCCCTGCCCAGAACACTCTGCCTTCACCCCGCCCCCGGGGCCTACTCAACTCGCACTCAACCCTCAGGTCTCCAGAACTGTCATGATGGCACCTCCGCCCGCACCCACCCAACACATGGCACTGTCTTACAGTCACCCGTCTAGTGTCCCGTCCCTAGGCTTGGGCTCTAGGAGGTCAGGAACCATGTCTGATTTAGGCACCAGTGTGTCAAAAAAAAGCCAGGGAAACATTTGTCAATGAAAGACGGGCTGACGCGCTGAATGAATGAATGAATGAAGGATGGAAGGATGTACGGATGGATGCGTGAGGCAGGAGGACTGACAGAAGGGTASATGAATAGACAGGCAGATGCTTGGGTGCATGGTAAGACAGAAGGACAGACAGATGGCAGACACATGGGTGGATGGGCACCAATGTACCCACTCTGTTCAATGGAGAATATTTCATGTGTGTGAGAACTTCAGAAGAACTCTTCAGTCCTCATCCCCTCTCTTCCCAACTTGTATTTGATGAAGCCTCTAGAAATAACCACGGTGGTATTTTCCTGACGTACTTTGTGCTAATACTGCCAAGTACTTTACWCAGAGTCTATGATCCTCTCTAATAACCAAGGAGACAAACATTATGGGTCCAGTTCACAGATACGGAGGGTCCTTCCTGCTGCAAGGGTCACACAGCTACCTACACAGCCTCAGCAGTGCAGGGTGACACAGCCAGTGCATGGCAGATCTGGGCTGGAGCTCAGAGGGCCTGACCCCAGCCTGCTGTCCCTACTGCTCATCCCTGGAACTGGTGAGCAATGTGCCAGCTCCTCTGCACCCCGGGCCCTGACCTGGGAATCTGAAAGAATTATTTCCCCGTGGACTTCCCTCTGATGAAGAGAGGAAGGACCTGCCACCCTGTTCCAGGCACAAGGAGGCCCCACCTAAACAACAGGGTGGGCCTGAACTTCCTTCCAGAAGAGCAGGTACAGTTGATGGRGCCAGAGACTGCAATGAGGGTGGCAGGAAGCTGCTCCTCCTTGGAAGGACCACTGCTGGCCCAGGGCCGTCTAAGTAGCTTCTAGCACAGGGAGAGCTGCCCAGAGGAGCCTCAGCCCAGGGAGAGGCTTCAGCAGAGGGCCCATGCTGCTCTGCGGGCGGCCGGGCAAGGACAAGCCAGACCCCAGGGAATGCTGAGTCTGAGGGTCACTCAGAGGAGGAGCCACCGGAACACAGGCAGGAGCCCCCAGCCCGCCCAGTGCTACTCAGGCTGCCCTCTGACGGTTCCTAGTAATAAATCTTTCCAACCAAAGGGCCTGGTTCCAGGCAAACTCTGCCTAATTTCCTCTTCAAAAGTTGCCAAGTTCTGGCTCATTGTTGTATTGTCTACAGAGGTGAGAAAAACAGCCCAGGGAGCACCGGGGTACTGTTCCCAAGTCCCCTTTTCTGGCCAACTCTTGGGGAAAAACAGCCCRAGTGTGCAGACCGGAAAGGGCTTCCCTCCAGCTTCCAGTAAGGAAGGAACCCACCCTGTCCCCTGCCCTGATGCCAGTGTTTGGGATAAACAGTTGCCTGGCTCCTGTGGGCTTTCCGGAACAATGACAGCAGAGCCAGGTATCTGAGACACCCCGTGATGGTGATGTGACTGGGGAGGAGGGTCTCCTCACTCTCGCGTCACCAGGAACCTCGCTGAGGCCTCATGGGGCTCTCCATTCCTCACCAATGTGTTTAAACCCAACTGCAAGGCCCAGCTTCCTGAAGACGCCCTGCCCTGCCCTGCCCTGCCCCTTAACAGGTGTGTTCTGCACCCAGGGGTTCTCATAACATGGCATGAGGGAGGAGTGCTGACATCACACAGCACCCAGAATCGCAGCAAATGGACCATGGAAGGCTGGGTGCCCCCGTCGAGCACTGCCCCCGCAGGCCAAAAGCTCAGCCTCTGGGCTGGACCCAAGCATTCCCCAGCCTCCTTCGTCTTTCAGGTCAGCTCCAGAGGCTGGTGTGGGGACCGGTTCAAATGTGGGAGTGTTGAAGTGGGTGCCAGGGAGGCAAGCAGAGAGAGAAGAGAGGAGAGGAGAAAGAGACACAGAGATGCAGAGAGTCCAGGAGGAGGGTGCCACAGAGACGACGCTGACAGACGGCAAGTGAGAGATGGYGACTGGGAAAGGAGGAGGAGAAACCACGACAGGGAGAGGGACGGGGGAGAAGCAGAAGCACAGGGAGACGGGAAAGAGACAGGCACAGGTGCAGGGAACCTGAGACAGAAACGGACACCCGACAGACAGGGACAGGCAGGGGACACCAGGAGCCTCCTCAGGGGTGCAGTGACTCAGGCACAGTGAGGGACTCCACCTCGGGAGGCTACTTCCATGGGAGGGGCCTGGCTAAACGACAGGCTTCGGGCCAGCAGTACCCACAGAACCTTCTGAGGGTACAGAACCTCTCTTGGGGGTAGGGGACTACGGGGGATTGAACCTAGAGTGCTYTAGCGTTGAGCTTTTCATTTTTTATTTTGAGGCAGGGTCTTGCTAAGTTGCTGTGACTGGCTTTGAACTTGCAATCCTCTTGCCTCAGCCTCTCAAGTTGCTGGGATCACAGGTRTGTGCCAGGGGGCCCAGCTAGAGATGCTCCAAATCTGCTCTGGCTAATGTAGTGGACACTGGCTACTTGTAACCACTTGGCATGCAGAACGTGCCTGGTGGACTCAGAACATGCATTTTTAATGGAATGGAATAAATCAATCCAAACACAAATGACCCAGGGAGGGTCCTGGCTGCAGTGCCAGGCAGCAGCTCGAGGCATCTTGGCTTTCTGCCACCTGGAGCACTCAAGGCCTTCTAATTGGGCTGTGACCCATCAGCCCACCTGGCTGCCTCTAGAACCCAACTCTAGAACAGAAAAGATCTATCCCCGGGGACCCTAAGGTTGCTCCTGGTGACGTCCAAGCTCTGGGTCCTAACACAGCAAACCATACAGAGTCAAGGCAAAGGAAAGATCCATCTGCCACAAGAGCAAGCGGACCCCATCAGCAGGGGAGAAGACACCCCAAGCACTGTCTTGGAGGGGGCCACCCGGGCGCCCCCATACCCACACAGAGCTCCCCGGCAGGAGCCCACTCCAGGATGATTCGMATCTGTCTCTGGAATGAGTCAGCCACACAGCAGCCATGAATCACAGGAGGCAGCAGGGAGGAGGGCGACGACAGAAGCCAGGGAGAAGCCACCCCAGGTCCACCTCCCTGGCCCAGTGGAGATGACAGCAAGGGAGACTGACAGGGTGGGGGCCRCACCCACCTGGGCTCCCCGGGGATGGAGGGCCACGCTGCTCCTGCCTAGCTCAGCTCTGCCTCCCGCTCGGGATCCGGGATCCAAGGCGCTGCACGTCTCCCCCTCCCTTTCTCCTGCTCCTCTCCTGCTCCTCCTCTGGCTGTGCCTTCCGCTGGAGCAGGGGCAGTGAGTAGGGGATGCTGGAGCAGCCACAGGCCGCCCCTGCCCAGACCAGCCCGTCGGCTCTGCAGGGGGAGCTCTGAGGCGGAGCACTGCACACTGCAGCCGGCTGAGCGAGTCATCACGACGGGCCCACGGCCACAGCCTGGTTAAAGGGACACTCCGGCACTAGCAAGACGTGTCTCCCCCACAGCCTCACTGCTCCTCCGTCCCCMGGGTGACAATACTCTGGACTTCCTTGGGGGCAGGGTCATCCTTAACATTCTCGGAAGAGATCCTCCTACGAGTGGAGAAGGGACCCAAGGCCTCCCGTCTCTATTCCAAGAGTCTCCTTCCTGTCGGTCACTCCCACATTCAGCCCCTCTGCCCCACAACCATGCTCACCTACCTAGCGYCCCTTCTACCCTGAAGAGCTTTCAATGGCTCCCTGTTGCTTCCAGGATGTRGTCTGAGGCTCCTTTAGCTGGCAAGGCCTGCAAGATCTAGATGGAGCCACAGGTCCTGAGTCCCCTCCTCTAGTGACAGCAACTTCCTGGTGTCCCCAGATTGGTGCTTAGCCCCGTGTCCTCTCCACCCAGAGGYGTGCACCCCCCATGCTGGCACATGCCTGTTCATCCCTCTGCACACGGCTGCATGCAGAACCCCTGGGGAAGCTGCTGTGGCACCTCCAAACTGAATGAGTCACTCCGTCCTCTGGGCTCCCAGTCCCCTGGGACTTGCCTTGACTTCAGTCCTAACTTCAGTCATGGTCTGTTATGGCTCTGCCTCCCCAGAGGCCGAAGAGCTCTGCAAGGAGGAGGCCTTCATCCACGMAGGGGGAGCAGCCACAAAACTGTGAGGGCAGCAGAGGCACTCGGGTGAGACRTCCCTAGGTGTCCCTCCCTCTCAGGTATTGCTGCCAGAGGTCTCCTGCTGCCCTGCCCACCCCCTGCACGGACCCGGCTGAAGCCATCAGACTGGCAAGGAGTGAAAGAGGAGGCAGGGAGGCCAGTGGCAGCAGGGGCCTCTGGGAGGGGCTGAGCTCGTCTCCACACTGAAGACCGGAGAGGAAGGAGGACAGAGGGAGTTCTGCTGGACAGAGGGCGAGCAGAGGGCCTCCAGGAGAAGAGCCACTGAAGCAGGGTGGGGTTGGTCCTCCAAGCGACAATAAAGACCTGGACTTGCCCACACATGTCCAGCTGTTCCACTCACCAGCGTACTTGGCACTCCTCAGAGGCAAACAGGGTGACTCTTGGCCCCAGTGCTGTGACACAATCTAAGGCCACTGCTAAAGCAGGGAGCCATTCTTTGGGCCAAGACAAAGTCTCCCCAGAGAATCCAGGTGCGAAAGGCCAGGGCAACCCTCCCTGGCTGGGCATCCGACCTGGTTCCCCAGAACTGGGGGACCCTGATGTGGCGTGTAGCACCCAGGAGTACTGGGTGGCCACTGGCTTTGCTTCCCCTTCTTTCTAGTACCCACACCTCCTGCCTCCACGTGGCCCTGAGGGCTATCAGCCAGAACACACGCTGCCTATGTGGTCAAGGGTGGGCAGGGCAGTGTGCTCCCACGGGGCGAAGGCCCCACAGCAGGGCCAGTCAGCAGCTTCTCTGAGATTCTACAGAGGTGCTGAGATGAATGAGACGCTGCCTCACAATAAAACCAGCACCCAGAAGCAGGGCCAGGAGGTGGAGGAGCTGCTGAATGTTAATGATGTCATCTGACCCCGGGATCCAGGACCCAGCTATGCTTGCTTCAAGTCCTCTCTCAGACTTCCCAGTTATTTTTTWWWAAATTTTTTTAGTTGTAGATGAACACAACACCTTTAGTTATTTTTATCTGGTGCTGAGGATAGAACCCAGGGCCTCACATGTGCTAGGCAAGCGCTCTGCCACYGAGCCACAACCCCAGCCCCTCCCAGTCATTTTAAAGGTTATAGCACTGCACTCTCTTCTTGCCTTACTACTCTGAATAATGTCTGTCATTTCTAACCAAAGCCCTGATTAGAACATACAGCATGCACATCTGTTTTCTGAGCAGAGGAACCATAATTCCCCCAATCTCAAGGATTGGCCGACGTGAAGTAGACGTCCCCTCAGTCAACGTAAAGCAAAAGGCAGCACCTGTTGCTCACAGGCTTTTCCCAGCCTTCACGACTGGCCATGTGCCTCGCTTTCCTCATCTGCAAAGCTCGTTTCTCAGGTGTAGGGAACTAATGAGCAACGTGAAGCTCCCGGACAGCAGCAGGCATGCAGCAGGAGCTCAATCCTCGCACATCCCCTCCTCCTTTCCTCCAGTGAGCCCTGGTGGGTACCTTTCTTACACTTGGAGTTAAACCCCTTCCCTCCAGGGGAACGACGGGGCAGCCAGCCGGGCTGAGAGGAACTGCCTGTTCATGCTGTTTATCCTACCTGCAGCAGGACGGTCCCCCCGGGGATTGTGAGCTGTAAACAGTACTTCGGGGCATTCTCCCAGGACAGCAGCTGAACGTCTTCGATGGCGCTGTAGGACACTGAGTTTTCCATGTACCCAGTTGGCTGCAACAGAAAAAGAGAAGACACACAGGTTACAACTATGTAACATGTAACAATCATGTAACAGGCATGGCCCCGGCCTGAAGAGGCTCCTGAGAAGTCCCCACTCTGGACACAGCACGGGAGCTGGTGCAGAGGTCCGCAGCTCCGGGGCCAAGGGAAGTTCTGTTACTTCTGGCTGGGGAAAGGGGTGCTGTAGAGGAAACCCATCCTGCATTCAGGAGGGCAAGGGCTGGGGATTGCTGCGCCTGGCATCCATGCAYGGGCCCAGCCCAGGGCCTAGCTGGAATCCCAGCATCCCTCACCAGCAACCTGCCACTGCCACCCCTCCCAGAAGCAGCAACAGCTGTTGGAAGACAGAAGGAGATGGGCTACTGGGGACAAGGCTGGAGGAAGCATGGGAAAGAGAAGTCCACAGACACTCTCTGCAAGAGGCCCCAGGTGCCAGGACACACATGGCCACCAGGCTCTGGCAGTGTCCCTGTCACTCTGGCCCTGGCATGCCAGAGTACAGGAGAATCAGAGGCAAGCACAGCGCAGCTGAGAATCTCGACAGCTAACACCTCCCAGCTCTTGCGTGGGCACGACATCTAATCCTCACAAAGACCTCAGGGAGCAGGACCCAGGGCCATCCCTATCACAGGGAAGCAGAAACTGAGGCTCAGGTGGCCCTGTGACTAGCCCAAGGTCACTCAACTAGGAGTGAGTGGCATGACCAGGGGTGAACTCAGTTCAGATTCCGGAACCCACACTGGCCACCGTGAGCCCGGTGAGCTGGCCCCACCGTGAAGACCTGGCCCCACCACGAAGACCTGGCCCCCGKGGGTCTTCCCTCCTCGTATCTGTCTGCCTGAGTGGAGGCGGGTGGCGCTGGGAGGGCTGGAGGGCTGGTGGCTTGCGTGGCCTCACTTCCCCATGATGGGTCCGTAGGCCCAGGAAGTCCGAGCAGCTGTCCAGCAGAGTTTTCCCATCCATCCCTCCCTCGCTCTTTTTCTGGTCCAATAGGTATTTACTGAGTTCTGTCACACTCTAGGGGCCATGCTGGGTGCTGGGGGTCAGCAGTGAGAAAGACAGGAGCCCAGCAGGGCAAAGAAGTGACCAACAAAATAGCCAAATAAATAAATGAGTGAAGAGTGGCAGGTGCTGCACARAGATCCGAATAGGGAGCGGCAACAGGTGGCCGAGAGCCAGGCCCAGTGGGCGGAGATGGAGGACCYCAGAGCAGTGGCCAGCACAAAGCCCAGGAGGGAAGAGCTGGGGGGAGTTTCTGGGGGAGGCAGGGCAGGCCAGGCCACGCCCAGAGGTCCAGCTGGGGCTGGGGCACTATTTCGGGGGACGCAGTGCTTCAGGCAGGGGCTGGAGCCAGATTCAGCAGCATCAGCGGGTCCGCGCGCAGTCCTGGGAGCAGGGTGGCGGTGGAGACAGCCCGAGCTCCTGCACCGCTGTGGGGGCCAGSCTGCTTGGACCCTGCAGGTGTGGGAGGAGGCAGCAGGTTCACCCTGCCCTTCTCACTGGTCATCCCCCATGCTCAGCAAGACCCCTGGGTGCCACCCGCTGGCTGCTGTGTCCTGACCAAGACGGCTCATAGCAGCACATCCCAAGTCCACGCAGGTGCCCCCCCMCACACCACCCAGCACACTGCCTGCAGAAAGTGGCGCAGTCTTCCCGCACGCGGGGCAGGGCAGGAAGCCAGTGCAGTGGCTGGCTGTGACTGCCTGCCTGACCCTGCCTGGAGTAGTCATGGCGTGTCCCTGCCACGGCTAAGCACCCGGGCCTGACACCCTAACAAAGGAATGAGCATCTTGCTAAAGTGAGGGAAGCCCGTGAGCGGGCCTCTTGTCCTCACCACAACACACCGCATGGTCCAGACCAAGGCGCGTGCAGCCTCAGTTCTTTGGGGCCACCCTTGGGTTTCTAGTCCCCACAGACTTCTGGGAGGCCCTGAGAGGCAGCAAGGCCTGATCCCAGCTCCTGGAGGTGAACATGGCTGCTAATGCGACTGGCTGGGAGCGACGGGGCCTGGCCAYTGCAGTCCACCTCTTTCTCATGACCTGCCTGGGCTGTCTGAAAGCAGCCTGGACCAAGAGTTGCAACCAAGGCTTTCTGGGAAAAGGCTGGGTATAAATAATACATATTGTTTTTAAAACGCAGATTTATTGCCTCCCCATTGTTTGCAGCAGCATTTGGCCACAAGCAGGGTTTTATAAGAACAAATGAACCTATGTTTGAGCCACCAACTGTGTGTCCTTAAGCAAGTCAGTGCACCTCTCTGAGCCTGGTTCCTCCAATGGTAAGATAAGATTGACTCAATAGACACAATTATGGGAGCATTGAAAAAGATCTCATTTGTCAAGGGCCTAGATAGCATTTGGAACACTGTGAAAACCTCAATAAAAAGAACTATTATGAAAAAGACTAAACTTTATCTCTGGGGTCGTCCTCCCAAAACCCAAGTCTCACCATGAAGAAAACATCAGGCAAGCCTCAACTGAAGGACGTTCCTCCAAACACCTGTCCAGGCCTCCCCCAGAACAAGGAAAGCCTGAGCAATGCCCCACACAGAGGTTCAGGAGGACATGGCTCCCGGGGTCTTAAGGGACTCAGGACAGAAAAAGGACATTAGGTGCAAAGGAAGGGAAGCGACAGTGTGSACAGTGCCGTGGAGTCCACAGTAGCCCACCCCACCCCCGTCAGCAACAGGGACGCTGGCGCCTGGGGGCCTGTGTCCTCACCCTTCCTCTGCCATCTACACTGTCCCCGGAGGAAAAGCTCACCACAGCACCCCACTGCTGCCGCTTCCCCACCCACCGCCTGGGGCAGGGCCCRAAGGCCCCAGACGGGCTGCTCTCTGGCCACGGTGCCTACCGCGACCCTGGCCTTCTTACTCTGGGGACAGTCTCAGGGTAACTGTCAAGGCCTGGTGACCAGAGCGTGCTGAGGGGCAGAAGCCAGGGCTGGGGGAGGCTGGAACCTGGCTCCGGGGCACACCAGGAGACGCGAGAGCGGGCTGCACGGTGGCGCCATCCTGGGGCCTGCACGACTGTGGGGTGGCCAGCTCAYGCAGGGGAGGGACCCCTCGGCTGTGGTGCCGCTCCCCAGGCCTCACACCAAGGGTGGGCTTTCCTGTCCACGCACGACTACTCCACCTGACTGGAGAGGGAGGCGTGGACACGGCAGGGGACGGCAAGGTGGTGGACGGGAGAGGCTCTCCTGGAGGCCGCCTTCTGGGCCATGCAGGGCACCTGTGGGTCACCTTCCTGCTGGGGTTTACAGTGACTTTTCACAGAGCCCCAACGAGCGGTGCGTGTGACTGGGGCGCCTCTGCTCGGGTCAGATCACAGGTCACCATCCTCAGCAGCGGGCCCCAGGACCCCCGTTGGTAGATGGAAACCTTTGTCCACCCCTTAGCCCCTCCGGCTTCCCGCTCTGGGACAGCGCCCGCTCCGCTTCACGCTGCTCCGAACAGCTCCGCGGTGACATCCTTGCGGAGCATGTTTTTCTGCCCTATATTTAGGATTATTTCCTTAGGCCAGATTCCCAGAAATGGAATTACTGGGACAAAGGGTAAGAGCGCGTCTCTCGCTGCTGCCAAACTGCCCTCATTAGGGAGATGTTTCGAGCCCTGCAGGGCGCTGAGGGCCTGCGTCCCTGGCCACCAGCTCCGCTGGGTGCTGTCCTTCTCCCCAGGTGGACTCGGTGCAAATGCTCAGTAGCTGGGCCTTGACCCCCTGCTCTGGGGACCGATATGGACTAGATGTAGGGGTCTTGTGTTTCTGGACCAAGAAAAGAAGGCCTGTCCTCAGCTGCTGTCTCGGGGTGAGCTGGCAGGAGGGCTCTGACACCTAGATCCGCACCAGGGGGGCAGCAGAGACGTCCTGAGGACCCCGCGGACCCTCACGGCCTCCAGAGCTGACAGGGTAGGCAGAAATGAGGTGGCCAACCCCCGTGGGTCCCCACCCCCCAACGCTGCAGCCAGGCCCCCCACCCTGGACGCCTCCTGCCTTCCCCGAAGCAGCTCCCGCTGGCCCAACCTGCCTGTTTCCACGGGGATTTCTCCAAAAAACGAGCGTGAATCAGTGTGTGCAGCCTCAAGACGAGGCTGGGGCTGACTCAGCTCAGCAGGGCAAGGGCAGGGAGGGCTCCAGAGGAGGGGAGTCGGTCAGGAAACATCCCTCAACCTCCCTGGAGGCTGGGGACGGGGCCAGTCGGGAAATGGGTTAAAATGGCAGGCTGGCTGTCACAGGGTATCGGTGGCCTGCTGGGTAGGCCAAGGCAGGTTGAGCCCTCTCCTGGGTGGAAGTCGCCTGAGTCACAGTGCAGGGGAGACCTGCTGCTCCKCGGGTTCCCTGTGGCACCATCCCGCTGGCACAGGAAGCATTTGCTTGGGGCCCGCCCACAAATCAGCCCATCTGACCCGTGTCACATCGGCTGGGCTGGAGTCCCCAGCCCAGCCGAGAAGGCCCAAGACGAAGGTGCCAATGCACCCTTGCTCTGGCTGTGGCACCATGAGGGGCCTGGGGAGCGGTGGTCTGCAGTCCTATGGCCAAAGCCGTGACAACCGAGCCACTCGCCACTCAAGAAGCGAGCAGTGGGGTAGCACCCCGCACGTTTGCCGCGCCATCACCCAGCCAGGTTCTGGGACACTGTCATCTCCCCAAATGGACCCCCACCACCACCCTGAACAGCCCCCGCTGCTACCTGCCCATCCTCCATCTCTGAGTGGGGCGAGCGGCAGGCGCCCTGCTCTGGCTGCCTGCCTGATGGCCCGCCCGCCCTCCATGGAGTGTCCGGGCGGCTCCATTCATCTGCCRATGGACRCTCGGGCTGCCTCTACCTCTGCCGCTGTGAAGAGCCGGCTGTGCCCTCTCCAACGTGACCAGAGGACACTGTCCTGCACATGCCACCCCTGTCAGCCCCGCCACACGGACGTGCCAGGCAGCCACCATGGGGCGAGCATCTCTGAGAGCTCCAAGTGTGGCACCTCACTCTGCTTTACAGCAACT